GTGCGAGTCGCGCTTTGTCGACTGGAAGATTCCGTTGTACGGAATCAGGAACATGCCAATTCCAGTGGCCACTCCGACAACAACAGCTGCCCAAGCTGCACACAAAGCCAGAGCCCTGTTCATGGCCTGAGGAGGAAAGCTGGCATCCGACAGGGTTTGCTGCCGGTAAAGCCCAGTGAAAGCCCAAAATCGCAACGGAGGGTAGCCACCATAACCGCCACAGCTGCAAGGATACCAACCACAATCACTGCAGCCTGCGGGGTTCCTGAAACTCCATAAGCATCAGTCCACCCATAGGACCCGGCAAGAGTAAACTTGTTCGCAGCCGCTGCCACCAGCACCCAGCTGATATTGCATGCGATGCCAGAGGCATAGATTGCCCACTCTGCAAACGAAGATGTAGACTTGGTGTTCATGTCAACATAGATCGAGAGGAGGAATGCCAGGTATACGACGATGACCAGCATTGCTTTTCCTTAGAGCATCTTGGCATAGAGTGGCAACCAGAGGGAATTCAGGAGAAAGGCAATGACCAGGCGCCACCGAACTGTAAGGTCTGTGAGGAAGCACCTTTGCTGCAAGAGCTTCTCAGAGCTTTCCGATGGAGAGCACTGCATGCCCTCGAGGGTGTAGGTTGCAATCCAAACCAACAACGTCATCATGTCAGGAGTGAGCTGCACCGAGCGACTGGGCGGAGAGGAATCCACGTGCTGCCAAAGCATTCAGGAACAGGCTCAAGACGAACGTCGCCACAACCAGGATCTTCTCTGCCATGCTCAGATTGGCTCGACAGAGTGGCCCTACCCCGCTCTACCCCCCTTTTGGTTCACAAAAGGCTACGACGGCTACGAGTATCGCAAAAGGGTCCAAGTTCGGTCGCTGTCATTTGTTTCAAGCAGGGGGCAGGGGCCGCGGCCTTGACACCGCCTCCGGCAAGGCTGGCCTGCGGGAGGGCTAGCACTAGCGGGAACTGGCAGCGAACTGGACTCCACTTCTGCAAGAGACAGTCCGAGTGCCGCGCCTCCTGACCAGGAGCCTGAGAATGGAGCAGGGATGAAGAGGGACGACGTGTAGAAGGCACCCTCAGGCCTCTCCTCTCCAAAACAACGGGGCCTGGAAGTCGAGGCTGCTAGCTGACAGCTGACCATCGAGGCCAGTGTGGGCGGCGCTCTGGCAGGCCAGGTGGCTTCCAACAGCTTTCCAGACGTAAGCGTCAGACGCTAGAAGGCATGCTTTCAGCGCAGCTCTGGTCTACGGTGTCAATGCTCCCCCTTCACTTGTGGACCGCGTTTGGTAAGGAAAAACCCAAGCCACAGACTCCTGCCAGCTTATCGGACTATCGTTGCTCCACGGACGCGAATCCAGAAAATCAAGAAAAATTAACCAGAAGCAACAAACCGCGAAGCTGAACCTAAACTCCCACCCAAGAACACGCCGCCAAAGCACCCGGAAGCAACCCGGCGGGACGGGTTAGAACAGACCCCAGCTAGCCCTAGCCACGCCCCGTTTTAAGATCCCCCCCAGCCCCGACCTGCCTCCCGAACCCCAGCCTCAACTTTCCTCAAAGCCTGCCCATACTACCCTATACACACATTCTAGTAATAATC